CCCCTGGGAGCACAGCCATCTGGGCAGCTCAGTGCCAAGCCTGAAGACTAGACTTTGGGGGCCTCCAAGCTTCTTGGGAACTAAAAAAGGGGGCCCAGCAGCTTCTGAGGTTCTCAGGTGAACCCTGGTACCTGGCGACAAAACTCCAGTAGCATCAGAGGTGCTGCCAGTTCAGCAGTTAGGTGGGGTTGAGGCAGGGGCTGGCACAATGCTGTCTGGGCCTCAAAGGGGCAGTGTGGCCAGTGAAGGATTCCTCCTTTTACAAGATTTGTGACTCAGAAAATTACTTCACCTTTTGGAGCTTGGTTTCCTCCATCCAATGGGAAAGATAGAAATGCCTACCCCACAAGGCTACTGTGAAGATAAAATAGTAGTAGCCCTTAGCACAGAGCCTAGCACATGCTAAGTTCAAGGAAAGTTTCCTTTTCAGGGAATAGCTGTGTGGGGAGAGGATGCTCTTACCCCACTCATAATACTACAACCTTCCTCCCACAACAGTGTTTAACGTGGAGCATTAACTTCTCTCAATCTTAGGAAAAGTACTTTGTGAAGGGGCAGCTTCATGACCCCTGACAACAAGTGGCCACCCCAGTCTCTTCTCTCATATGGAGTCTAAAGTCCATGGCTTCTGGGGCTGCTTGAGAGTCAACAAGATTAAGGATTCTAAGGTCCAGCTCAAGGGCTGGCATACAGTGGGCATGCAACCCATGCTGAATCTGGATCTTACTGCAGCTCTATCCCAGAAAGCTCCCTCTATAGGGACACTGAGGGCCACATGAGAGGGAGCTGGGCAGATCACGGCCCACATAAAGCCTGTGCATGCTCTTGAGGCCTGGTTGGCAATGCTCTGGGCAAAGCCAGGGCCTCTAAAGGATACCTGCTCTGGGTTCCTGTTGGTATCAGTGGTGCCAGGAGGCTCCTTTAGCCACCCCACAATTGTGAAGGGACCATTCCCTGGAGAAGGATGTCATGCTTGGTAGGGTGGAGGGTCGACGAAAGAGGGGGAGGCCTTCAACGAGATGGATTGATACAGTGGCTGCGATGATGGGCTCGAGTATAGCAGGGATTGTGGGGCTGGTGAGGGATCGGGCAGTGTTTCGTTCTGCTGTGCATGGGGTCGCTATGAGTCGGAAACGACTCGACGGCACTTAACAACAACAACCTTATAATCAAGAGCAGACCACTGGACCTAGGCCCAGAGCAGACTGAAGGTTCTGAGGCCAACTGGTGTGCTCATCAGCTAGGAAGCCCTCTGGTCCTCAAATAGCAGGACTTTCCTCCTTGGCCTGACTCTGTGCCACAGAGCTGTCTGCCCCCTAACTGAAGGCATGTTCATCTCAGCACCCCTAGCAGCCCAGCTCCACACACAGAATGGCCAGAAGGAGAGAGTCCCACCTTACCCTACATGGTTCCAGCTCACATCCAGCCTGGTTGTCTAAGCCCAGCTTCCCAAAGTCCTGATAAATAAGACAGTGGTGGCCTTGCCACCTCCTCCACAGTTGCCTACCCCTTCTCTACCCCTCCATTAAATCCAGTGTACCACAGTCCTTGGATGCCCAGACACCCCTGTTTCTGACCCCTCTGATGAGACCCTCTCTGTGGTTCTGTACCCTGCTCATTTAACCTAACCTAACCAGTTGCTGTCAAGTTGTGTCTGACTCGTGAAGATGCCGTGCGTGCCAGAGTAGAACCTTAGAGTTCTCAGTGGCTGATTTAATGGAAATAGAACAATAGGTCTTTCTTCTGAGGCTCCTCCAACCTTTCTTTAGTAATCAAGCACATAAACTGTTTGTGCCACTCCAGGGCTTTCCTTGCCCCCTAACCTGTTTAAAACCTGTCTATTCTGAGTGCCACCGCTGCAGGGTTGTCAGATGACAGCCAAGCAGGTTAAACAATTGAAGCCTACTGGGCTGGGGATGACTTGTTCCTTCCAGAGGCTTTTCTGGGGCTCCAGGGGACACAGAGCTTCTCTCATGTTCCCTCCCGTCCTGCCCCTTGAATCACAAGTACTTCCAATGCTATTGCCCACGCTCAGGTCTTCCCCTGCTTCAGGGCTTCATTGTGCACAAGCCCTCCGGTTCTGACACCTGTTCTTTGAACACAGCAGAGAAGGGGTTAAAAATCTGAGAAAGCTGATGAGACTGGCCCATGGTGACACAGCAAGTGGAAGTCTGCCTGGGCCTAGCTGGTCCCTCTGTGGTACCTTGAAAATCCTTCCCCTCAGAAACCAGTAGGCCCTCTTCTTCATCTAATTTCTTCTCCTTTATCTCTGAGGAGGGGTATGAGAAGGAGCTTCACCCCTGGACAGCACATTCCTGACTCCTCAGGCCACATTCCTTCCAAAGCCACTTTGAGACAACTTGGAGAGGGGCAGCTGTCTGAAGGCAGAAGGAGAGAAGCTGGGGTAAGCAGCTTGGTCTCCAAGAAGCCTGGTGGCCCAGGCAACTGAGCACCCAGAGCCTTGACTGAATGATTTTTATGCCTCAGTTTCCTGACTGAAAATGGGTATAGTGACCTTTGCCCTGCCTCTTGCCCTCTAGCCCATGACAATGCTTATGACAAGGGAGAGCGGAACTAACTCTGTCCATGTCCTTATACCAGGCTCTTCTCTGCCCACCCCTGGGCCTGGAGAGAGCTGAGTGAGGAAAATTTAGAGCAAACGCCCAATGACTCCTTGTATTGTCTCCTGGCCCTGGCCTTCCTCATCTGCCCATTTCAAGGACCCCTAGAACTGGCCTCCTCCAACTCTTTCCTCTCCATTTAGTCCCACTTCAGACTCTACCATCTACTCCCCCAAACCATCCAAACCAAACCATCATGTCAATTTTGACTCATAGCAACCCCATGTGTTACAGAGTAGAACTGGCTGTAATCTTCACAGAAGCTGATTTTTAGGTCTTTCTTCTATGGCACCACTGGGTGGGTTCGAACTGCCAACCTTTATGTGAGTAGTTGAGTACAGTTTGCATCACCCAGGGACCTTCCCAAACCCACAATCCATACCTAGCCATAAGGAAAACAGTAGGCAAAACCAAACTGAAGGACATTCTATGAACTATCTGGCTGGTACTCCTCAAACACTACCTCCCAACAGCCTACTCATCATCTTCTCTACCTAGCTTCCACCCAAATGGCCAAGGGGTGGGGGCAGTTACGGGGATCACAGCGTGTCTACTCTGAGGAGGAGTCTGCAACTGGGAAATTCACAATGGGGAAGAACAACAGCATGGGGGAAGTTCTCTGTCCTCAGAGATGAGACAGGCCAGAGACAAGGTGGCAACAATGTACGGTCCCAAGGACAGCACCGACATAGGAGGCAGTGACTCTGGGCACTGAGAACTTTTTGTTCCTTTCTTTTTTTTTTTAACTTCTGTCATTGCTACAATATTGTTGTACAACCAATAAAAATGAACAAAAGCTGCATTATTATTATTTTTGATAACTCTTTAGGGTAAATGCTAACTCTCTCTCAGTTAAGGTGCAATTATCTGAGGGTCAATATCATTATCAAAGAGCACATGCCTTTGCAAGCCCCCAAAATAAATGCTGCCAGCCTCCACTTGCCTGGCCCTCCCTCCAGTTTCCCAGGCTAAAACCCCCAAGACATTGCTTATCTGGATGAGGTTCTAGCTGTCTCCATATCTCTGGCCTTGCTCCTTCCCTTGTGATTTGGGTGAAATTTTACAAAGCAGATTCATTTTACATTCAACGGGTCACATACACATTTCACTTTGTGACACTGGTTACATTCCCCACCATGTAATATCCCACCCTCTACCTCCTCCCTGGCAAAGATGTCTCCTTGAGGACTGAGGTGCGCTTGACACAAGCCATGGTATTTTCAATCACCTCATATGCATGTGAGAGCTGGACAATGAATAAGGAAGACCAAAGAAGAATTGATGCTTTTGAGCTGTGGTGTTGGCAAAGAATGCTGAAAGTACCATGGACTGCTAAAAGAACTAACAGGTCTCTCCTGGAGGAAGTGCAGCCAGAATGCTCCTTGGAGATGAGAATGGCCAGACTTCATCTCACATACTTTGGTCATGTTGTCAGAAGGGACCATTCCTGGAGAAGGATGTCATGCTTGATAAGGTGGAGGGTCGACGAAAGAGAGGAAGACCCTCAATGAGATAGATTGACACGGTAGCAGCGGCGATGGGCTCAAGTATAGCAAGAATCATGGCGCTGGCTCAGGACCAGGTGGTGTTTCATTCTGCTGTGCATAAGGTCACTATGAGTTGGAGACAACTCGACAGCACCTGACAACAACAACCTCCTTCCTGTGAGTATCGCTTTCCTATGTCCTGAAGAAGGAGCTCTGGTGGTGCAGTGCCTAAGGCATTTGACCGCTAACCAGAAGGCTGGCAGTTCAAACCTACCAGCCACTCCTCAGAAGGAAGATTGGGCAATCTACTTCTGTAGTGATGTTGTTGTTGTTGTTATGTGCTGTCGAGTCAGACCCGACTCATAGAGACCCTCCTTGGGTTTCCGAGGCAGTATCACTACAGAAGTAGATTGCCCCATCTTCCTTCTGAGGAGTGGCTGGTGGGTTTGAACCACCAGCCTTCTGGTTAGCAGTCAAGTGCCTTAGGCACTATGCTACCAGAGCTCCCTCCATAGTGATACTGCCTCAGAAATCCAAGGAGGGGTCACTAGGAGTCAGATCCGACTGGACAGCAGTGAGTTGGTTTGGTACTTTTTGGTATGTCCTTAAGAAGAAATCTTCCTCCACTATCTTCCATCATTCTGACCCTGATGACATCAGTGCCGGTGGCAGTGGTGGTGACAACAACAATGAAGGAACTGGCTTGGTGGAGTCCCTGGACACATGGAAATCAGTGGACTTCCACTTGCCCCTCTCTCATAGTCTTGGTCTGTGGCCTTTCAGCTGTTTCTACCTGGATTTGTAGTCTCTCTGCAGCCCTTCCCACCATACCAGTACATTTGCGCTCTCCAGTCCTGCCCACCCCATCCCAGCAGCCTCCCAGCAGGCTCACCTGGATAATCCAGCTGGGTATCCTTTGCCATCTCTTGGGACGAGTGCTCAAGAACATGGCTCAGGGACTCTTTGGAGAGGGTCTTCCTGTCAGTCAGAGAGCTGGCAGGGGAGGAAGAAAGCATTTGTTAGAACCTGGTGGATTGGCCTGAGCTCCTGGGTTCTGGCCTGGCATACATCTTAGCACCTCCTGAGGGATGACACTGGTAGAATTGTTTGCTGCAGGCTTCTGGGACCATTCACAGAAGAGGTCCCAGCTGGGATCAGGGGACAAAGACCTCAGTAGTTGCAGGGGCTAAAGTAAAGCAAAGTCCCTTAATTCTCTGGGTGGAGTCCTAACCTGTCCTCTCTCTAGCCTTTCCTATAGGTTCTAAGGCAGAGCCATGGATCCCTACTGGGAGCTCAGTAAGAAATATCAAGTCCTGCTCTGCTCATTTGCTGTGTGACTGTGGGCAACTTCATGCCTCTCTCTGGGCCTCAGTGTCCCCATCTGGACAACAAAGTGGTTGAGCTTAGACACCAAAGGGCTCTAAGCATTGCCTCAGTAAAATACAGACATTCAGAGTTGAGGAAAGAGCCACTTATCCTCACCCCATACCCATCAGAGCTCAGGCATTGAGAACAACCATGCTTAGAAACTCAGAATGGGACTGAGGGTGTTTCTAGGTCTCTCAGAGGTCTTAAGTAGGCCCCCAAGTGAGGCTCTTCCCTCCTGTTGGTGCCTTCCCTCCCTGTCCCTCATGTCTGCTCACTCCATGGAGAATACAGACTGGGACCAGGAAATCTTGTGGTTCAGTATCATCTGCCTTTACCCCTGGCCCAAATCCCTTCTGCCTCCCAGGCTTGGTGGCCTGTAAACAAAGGGGTTACTGGCCCTCTTTATTAACTTGGCCCCTCTGCTCCTTGGCACCATTCCTCTTCAGGGTTCAACTGGCCAGACTGTTGCCCCTGAGTGGATGAAAGGGTGGGTGTTGGTGCACACCTCAAGACTGAGCAGGGCTGAAGCCTTATACAACTCCAGGACACATTTCACCAACTATGTAACTGAGCCCCCTGGAGTTGAGCAGTGCCCAACCTGTGCAGCTGGTCATGGCAGCCCTGAGCCCAGGATCCTGGCTCCAGGGAGTGCAGTCTGTCAGGGTGAGGCTAGCTAGCCCCATCCCTGCCCAGTCCCCAGGAAACCAGGCCAGTTACCTGCTTCTCACATCCGGCTTTACTCCTTTTTGGTTATGCAGGTTCAAACTAAGTTTGCGAACACACCCAGGCCCACATGGCACCAGTCTGCTTAAGGACCTGAGATTGGTTTTAAAGTAAAAAACATCAGGACGTTATGCAAGGAAGCGGGTGGGGAAAGGGGGATAAGTGTGGGGCTGAGCTGGTCCCTTTCTTGGGAACCTTGGGAGCACAGGGCTGGAGCAGTCCTTCTGTTGCTATGGCAACTTGCTCTGGAGAAGTTGCTGGAAGGACTGAAAAGATGACAAAGCATGCTTCTGGGGTGAGGCCTACTGTGCCAGGCAGAGGGAAGCAGAGGGTTCCAAAGGTCATGGAGCTTGTCCTGCTGACTTTGGATCTTTGGTTGCTGCCATTACTAGCTTGTAATGCTACTAAATGACCCCTGAGCTCTGGGCTCAGGCAATTGCTGGACAGCTGAGAGAAGACACACACACACACATACACACACACACAATAAGGCTCAGTGTCTCACTCTGAGATTGTCAGGGGAGTCCCCACTGCAAAGGAGGGGGACTATGTCCTTCTGGATCTAGCTCCATCTTGGCCTGTGTTATCAGAGAAGGAACTCCAACCACAAGACAAACTCAGTGCTTAAAGCTGACCAGCCTTTGAAATCACCAGCTGACCAGCCACCTCCAAATTAGCCAAGGCAGTCACTGGCTGTAATCACCCACAATCTTAATTGCTTCCTCACAGACAAGTCTGTTTTTAAATCTTCACCATCAAAAGGTACAGGCAGCTTTTCCCCTACCTCATAAAATTTCTGTAAACTAGAAACAAAGACTAAATGAAAAGCCAGCCACCAAGGGAAGCCCAGAGCAAAGCGTATACATCATGATCAGAACCTTCTGTTTATAGGAAGAGTGATGCTGTTTGAAGCTCCTTGTCCCTTGCAGGGGCCTTTTCTAGGGTGTCACTGCGAGAGGAAGTCTTGTATTGCTCAGACACTGTGATCACTCAGCTCCCTTTTTCTGTCTTTCTTCCTCCTTTCAATGAGAGGGAGGACCCTGGCCCTCAGCCAGTACTCAGTGTGACAGGGATGCCTCATTTATTCTTGGACATGGCTCCCAGCAGGGCTTTTCAACTCTCTATGTCCTGTGTGTAAAGAATGTTGGGTGTCTGATGATGAGAATGTCAAACTGAGCTAAGACCTAATTTTCCAAATAAGTGAAGCTTGCCCTTCCACTTGCTAGAGCCTTTGAGACTTAATCCCTGTAAGGTGATGCCAAACATCCTTGTTGGTGCAGTGGTTAAGCGCTCAACTGCTAACCAAAAGATTGGCTGTTTGAACCCACCAGTTGCTCTGTAGTAGAAAGATGAGGCAAACTGCTTCCATAAAGATTACAGCCTTAGAAACTCTGTGGGGCACTTCTGTTCTGTCCTATAGGGTCACTATGAATTGGAATAAACTCAATAGCAATAGGTTAAGGTGATGCTATACTTTTGCCTAGGAGCTCTGGTAGTGTAGTGCCTAAGGCACTTGACAGTTAACCAGTGTGCTGGCCTCTAGCAGCTCATCTTCCTCCTAAATTGAAGTTTCTTTTAGGGGCACACTTAGAAACATGATAACCAAGCTAGCTAGATAATCAAGCTGGGTGGAATTGTAGGTTAAATCAGAGGAGGTGGGTTCCAAAAAGAGCTCTGGCGGTGCAGTGGTTAAAGCTCTTGGCTGGTAACTGAAAGGTCGGTGGTTTGGACCCACCACCTACTCTACAAGAGAAAGGTGAGGCAGTCTGCTTCCATAAAGACTTACAGCCTTGGAAACCCTATGAGGCAGTTCTACTCTGCCTATAGGATTGCTATGTGTTGGAATTGATTTGACACCAAATGAGTTTGGTTTTAGGAGCTCTGGTGGTGTAGTGCCTAAGGTATTTGACTGCTAACCAGAAGGCTGGTGGTTCAGACCCACCAGCCGCTCCTCAGAAGGAAGATGGGGCAATCTACTGCTGTAGTGGTACTGCCTCGGAAACCCAAAGAGGGGTTGCTATGAGTCGGATCAGCAGTGAGTGTGTGTGTGTGAGTTTGGGTTTCGAGTTTTGGATTCCAAAAAGGAACCTGTGATATTTTCCTCAAAGGAAAGTACGTAAGTTTTGTTTTGTTTTTCATGGGGTGGGGGGTGGTGGCAGACATTACTCCCTGTTTTGACTTCTCAAAAGCACTTTGGGTCCCTCCTGATTCTTGCTGCTATTCCAAAGAGGACAGGTAGCTGGTAAGTGACCCCAACAGGTGAGGTGCTACTATTGTCATCGTGATCATAATGAGCTTGTCAAAGATGATTAACGTATTATTCCTGTCACGCTAGGAAGTTATACTCCTCCTGAATTTAATATTCTGGAATTTGGCTACAGTACCAGAGGTGTAAGTCATCGGACATAATAGAATGAAAATAAGGGTGGGGAACCAACCAGGGGAAGCTGACTTGTACCTGTCTGTTTTCCTAATTCACAGGTGGAAGAGCTCCTAAAAGGGCGGCCCCCTTTTACCTTGATGAGGCCAAACATCTGTTCTCACCTCCAACTCATACTGTAAGCACATTGCTTGACATTCCTTTCATAGAAAAACTGCTTTAGTATCTACTGAGCAGCATCAAAACTCAAAAACTCACTGCCATCGAGTCGGATTCAACTCATAGTGACCCCTTACGAGGCAGTATCTCTACAGAAGTAGATTGCCCAAATTTTCTTCCAAGGAGTGGCTAGTGGGTTTGAACTGCCAGTCTTCTGGTTAGGAGTCAAATGCCTTAGGCACTACGCCACCAGAGGAAACACTCAACAGGCCATGTGTGAGGTAGGGTAGGCGGAGCAGTCGAAGGGGGTCTGCACTCTCCCTTTTTCTTAACCAGCTTTTAAGTGCTTAGTCCTTTCTTAACCCCTCCTTCTATAACACTATCTTGCTAGAGAAGTGGATGGAAATTAGTTTAAAGACAAAGCCTACCATACCATCTTCAAGTCCTCCTTCAGGAAGCCCTCCTTGATTACTTCCCAAACCGTCTCATCTTGTGACCCTTAGATAATAAGGCTTGGGCTTTGAAAATCACACATGGCTTGGGAAGTTCCTTGAGAGTAGGGATCATGCCTGATTCACTTCTATCCTCCAACCACGAGTATTCTTGAGGCATATATTTGGAGCCCAATAGATGTTGATTAGAACTAACCCTAGTCAAGTTTTCTCCATGTATGTGCAGTCAAGGGGAGCCCTCATTTTGCCTTTGGGCCCTTCAAGGACAGGGACTTATCGCCTATTTATTTCTGTTGCCCTTTCTCCTCATTTAACCCTCAGCAGTCAGGTCACTGATTGTATGCAGTAGGTTTTCAACTAATGCTTTTTTTTTTTTTTTTTAAGTTTAACAATGTAATGAGTAGGTTTCTTGTCATTATTTTGGCAATATCATAAAGCTGTTTTTGACGATAAAGCTACTGTGATTCAGAAGACCTTAAATTTCCTAAACCAGTATTAAATAACAATTAAACTTTTATTGGCTTGAAAGAGAACAATATATTGCAAGTCATCATAATCCACAGACTCAATACAGAAAAATTACTCAAAATGGGTCACAACTTTAATAACCTGATGCTGACTTGCCTGCTTCAAAGGTTTTACTCTTCAAGAAAAAGGGATGATAAAGAGTGGCCAGTATGTGTATTTATCAGGAAAAATACAATAAAGGCCCTACTGCTCAGTCCAAGATACCTAAGATGAGCAAAATGAAAAGGCTGTAACTTATACTAGAAGTCATCAACTAATGCGTTCTTGAAAGAACATAACATTGACGTTTACCAGAGTTTGCCTGCCTGGGTCCAACTCACTTTACTAGCTGTGTGACCTTGGGCATGTCACTGTACTTCTCTGAATCTTTGCCTACAACCTAT